CCCCGGATGGTTGCTTGTTTCACACTGGTATGGTGCGAGGGTAGTACCTCCCCGGATGGTTGCTTGTTTCACACTGGTATGGTGCGAGGGTAGTACCTCCCCGGATGGTTGCTTATTTCACACTGGTATGGTGCGAGGGTAGTACTTCCCCGGATGGTTGCTTGTTTCACATTGGTATGGTGCGAGGGTAGTACCTCCCCGGATGGTTGCTTGTTTCACACTGGTATTGTGCGAGGGTAGTACCTCCCCGGATGGTTGCTTGTTTCACACTGGTATTGTGCGAGGGTAGTACCTCCCCGGATGGTTGCTTGTTTCACACTGGTATTGTGCGAGGGTAGTACCTCCCCGGATGGTTGCTTGTTTCACACTGGTATTGTGCGAGGGTAGTACCTCCCCGGATGGTTGCTTATTTCACACTGGTATGGTGCGAGGGTAGTACCTCCCCGGATGGTTGCTTGTTTCACACTGGTATGGTACGAGGGTAGTACCTCCCCGGATGGTTGCTTGTTTCACACTGGTATTGTGCGAGGGTAGTACCTCCCCGGATGGTTGCTTGTTTCACACTGGTATGGTGCGAGGGTGGTACCTCCCCGGATGGTTGCTTGTTTCACACAGGTATGGTGCGAGGGTAGTTCCTCCCCGGATGGTTGCTTGTTTCACACTGGTATGGTACGAGGGTGGTACCTCCCCGGATGGTTGCTTGTTTCACACTGGTATGGTGCGAGGGTAGTACCTCCCCGGATGGTTGCTTGTTTCACACTGGTATGGTGCGAGGGTAGTACCTCCCCGGATGGTTGCTTGTTTCACACTGGTATGGTACGAGGGTAGTACCTCCCCGGATGGTTGCTTGTTTCACACTGGTATTGTGCGAGGCTAGTACCTCCCCGGATGGTTGCTTGTTTCACACTGGTATGGTGCGAGGGTGGTACCTCCCCGGATGGTTGCTTGTTTCACACAGGTATGGTGCGAGGGTAGTTCCTCCCCGGATGGTTGCTTGTTTCACACTGGTATGGTACGAGGGTGGTACCTCCCCGGATGGTTGCTTGTTTCACACTGGTATGGTGCGAGGGTAGTACCTCCCCGGATGGTTGCTTGTTTCACACTGGTATGGTGCGAGGGTAGTACTTCCCCGGATGGTTGCTTGTTTCACACTGGTATGGTACGAGGGTAGTACCTCCCCGGATGGTTGCTTGTTTCACACTGGTATGGTGCGAGGGTAGTACTTCCCCGGATGGTTGCTTGTTTCACACTGGTATGGTACGAGGGTAGTACCTCCCCGGATGGTTGCTTGTTTCACACTGGTATGGTGCGAGGGTAGTACTTCCCCGGATGGTTGCTTGTTTCACACTGGTATGGTGCGAGGGTAGTACTTCCCCGGATGGTTGCTTGTTTCACACTTGTATGGTACGAGGGTGGTACCTCCCCGGATGGTTGCTTGTTTCACACTGGTATTGTGCGAGGCTAGTACCTCCCCGGATGGTTGCTTGTTTCACACTGGTATGGTACGAGGGTAGTACCTCCCCGGATGGTTGCTTCTTACCATCCTGATTTATTGGTAATTGATTATAATTAGAAAAATTACAGTTTATTAAGCATTTATTATTCAGCACTAGGAGTAAGTCACACGTGCTTATTACACTCCATCTTTACCTTTGATAAGGTCTGAGAGTTTTTCTACACCAGGAGCCCAGCCATAGGCCAGGCTTGCTTGGTGCTTGCCTTGTTAACCAGGCTGTTGCTGCTGCTGCTGGTCCAGTGATCACAATACACTATAAGACACGTGCCTACTACACACCAGTGATCACATTAATACACTGTAAGACACACGTGCCTATTACACACCAGTGATGCGATTATACGTTGTAAATATCTACCATAATCAGGGGGAAATTCAATTTGGAAAGTGAACACACGTTCACTGGTTCCACCTCGCCGGTCACTGCTATTAAAGCGGACCTTTGTATATAATACGAACTATAATGAAAATCTGAGTTTGGTATGTTAGGTTTAAGGGCTATTTAACCCCCTGAGGTTCATTAAGTGTACGATTTACATATATACGAACATCAAGAATGCCCTAATCATTAGTAAAAGCATTTGGATCATTAAAACTTTAATTTATCTACGTACTAACATCAAGAGTGCAATAATTCTAGCATAAGGTACCCGAAACTGTTTATACACATGTCGTTGTATACACACGTCTCGATGTATACACACGTCTGGTATGTATACCTTATTTAATAAGGGGATGATTTCGGTCAGTATCTTAAATGGTATTAAAACATGCTTTTAACTTTACGTATAGCCCCTAATTTATAAACTAGTTGCGTTCCTGTTTGTCAACTTGCAAACTAGTTACATCCCTGGTTTATTAACTAAGAAGCTAGTATGTTCCTCGTTTGTTAATCTGGAAACTAGATACTGTCCTGGTTTGTTTATTAATAGACCAATTATGTTCCTGCTTTGTCACCTTACAAGCTAGTTATGTTCCTGGTTTATCAACTTAGGGACGAGTTACATTCCTGGTTTCCAACTTATAGACCAGTTACGGAGTTGTTTATATAGAGAACAATAGTACCAGCAGTGGCTATGTGTCACGTTCGTATTGTGGCTCGGAGGTTGTAAAAATTTAATTGGTTCCTAAATGTCCCATTTGTACGTACGGATGATTGTAATGCGGATGTTTGTAAATTGGGGATCTCCTGTGTACACTTAATTTTCAGTTTTGTAGCCAGCCCTCTACCGTCGCTTTTAATAGATTTAAAAAAAAATCTTGGTCTACAGTACCACTTGTCGATTCCGGGGGTCATTGCCCCCGCAGTCTGGTCCCAGACCAGTGGTGTTTGTTATTGCTTAATATTAAAATTTAGTTTTGCAAGACTATATGCGTATGTTACTAGGTGATGTAGTTTGTTGTCGTAATATTATATTCATACTCCCAGTACAGTATATTAAGCACTCCTAGTACAGTATTTTGGTACACTAAGAGAAAACACCGTAAGTGTCCGGGGCCCAAGACTGTTCAACAGCCTCCCACCAAGCATAAGGGGAATTACCGATAGGCCCCTGGCTGCCTTAAAGAGGAAGCTGGACAGATACCCAAAGCCAGTGCCGGATCAGCCGGGCTGTGGCTCGTACGTTGGACTACGTGCGGCCAACAGTAACAGCCTGGTTGATAAGGCCCTGATCTACCGGGAGGCCTGATCGTGGACCGGGCCGCGGGGGCGTTGATCCCCGGAATAACCTCCAGGTAGACTCCAGGTTGGATGTTTATTATCCTGTGATAATTTGAGTTATGACCTGCAGGTGGCTTAGTCACCACCTGCAGGTTTATCTGGGAGAGGTTGCGACCTCTTCTGACTAATAAATCACTGACTTGAAGATTTTTATTGTTTTCATTCTTTGTTTTTTACAGGGTAACGTGAAGTCTATTTCCAGTAACTGAAAGTTAAAACTAGGTAAACCTATAAAACAATGTTTCTGTTTGAAAAATGCTGATATAGTGTAGCCCCAAGATGGAGGACTGGGAAGGTGTTGTCGTCGATGGAAGATAGAAGGAATTTGATAATCTATCTGTTTACGGTTACGTAAATCATCGCCCCTTCGACCAGGTCTCGCACCAGACCTTCTGAACTGACAGACACATGTGATGTATATTACCGTATAAAGTGTACAACAGATTAAGTTATGTAAGATTTACCTGCCATTTTTCGTGTTCGTGAGACATAAAAGACCAACACTGGCACCAGAGAACAAAACGTTAAACAGATTCCAGTTTTACATTTATATGGCAGGATGGTAGTATCTCCTTGGATGATTGTCTACCGTCCTGCTGGCTACACGTATTCAGGGAACAAAGCGGAAGTCAAGTCTCCAGAGTGCAAAACATTTAACAAGCTTTTGTTTTACATTTACATGAACGAGACACATTTGCAACATTTGGGAATCTTTATTGTAGAAACGTTTCGCCAGCCAGTGGCTTCTTCAGTTCGGTACATATAAGAACAGTGGAAGAAGCCACTGGCTGGCGAAACGCTTCTACAATAAAGATTAACAAGTGTGTCACAAGTGTTTTATTCTTCCACTTGTCGGTCTTGTAAACCATTTACATCACACTTACAGTTACATAACCGAGGGTTGGGTAGCACCTTCCTGGATGGTTGTTGTCTACCAGCAGTGTGTTGGTAGACAACAGGTGTGCACGAAGTCGTGGCGGTGAATAAATGCAGCTTCACCAGACTGAGGACACACATCCTCTGCTACCAGGTAATGTTATGTGCAGTAATATAAGAAAGAAGACTCTTGGCAACTACACGAGGTTCTTAATCTTCAAGTTTGGATTGAGAAGTAGATACACAAATAACCCGCACATGAAGGAGAGAAGCTTACGACGACGTTCAGGTCCGATTTGGACCATTTACAAAGTCACACTAACCAGAAGTGGAGCAGGACGGCTATATATAGGCAGGAAGAGGTGGTGATAGTAGTAGTAGTAGTACAAGAATGGTATATAATACCGACAAGATGAAATTAAGACACATGAGAAGTAGCACATGCAGGTCAATGTGGACAATCTCATTTACAATTTCAGTCGATGTGAACACAGCGACTCCAGGCTGAGGGAGTGATTATCTCAAACTCTTCATCATTTTCCACCTTTCTCTGCATTGGACTGAAGAAGCCACTGGGTGGCGAAACTTATCCAGAATAAAGATACTCAAATGTTATACAAGCGTGTCATTTATCAGCTTGTCGGTGTTCTGAACCGTTTATTCACCCCCTCCCCCACTTGTGTTATACTCATGTATTTGTTTTATCTAATCGCTTTATAATTGTGTATGACGGCGATATTGCTGTAGTAAATCTATAGCAGTGATCCTAATTATATTTTTAATTAACTGGTATTAATTGTTTTGCATACGTGACTAATTATGGTACAGTTTTGGTATTAATTAAGTTTATCTGTGACTAAAAGTATTTTTTGGTTCTTTTCTCAGGATTAATTATGAGTCAGTGAGAGCGTGTGCGATCGTTGTCATCGTCTTGTAAGATACTGTAGTGGTTACCATGTTGCCACGACCTTCAACCTCCATGCTGGCCGCCCTGGTCGTTCTGGCGACCCAGGTGTGTCTTGGCCAGCACCTTGAGAACGACCTGCAGTCCCTCCTCCATGACTTGGACGTCAACCAGGGTGCTCCTCCCCTTGGCGACGCTGATGATGACTTCGAAGTGGAGGTGTTCTACCGGCCGGAACCTGAAGAGCGGGCGGCGTCGCCGCCGGCTTCAGTGGCAAGGAAAGGTGGGGAGGGTGTGCGGAGGCTGTGGGGTGTTGCCGATACGGAAGCCCAAGCCGGACGCCTCTTCTCGTATCCTATTCCCGCTGATGCGTTCGAGGGCGACGTCGTTTCTTACAAGGTAAGTCTCTGCTACCTACCTGCCAGGAAGATGATAGAATTACCCACAAAATGTTAGGTAAATGGACACAGATGCAACTAATGTGATATTTTATTATGACAATGTTTTGCTTTGTCAAGCCGTTACCGGTAACGGCTTGACAAAGCTTCTGGAGAGGGAAACATTGCCACGATGAAAGGTCACATTACTTGCATCTATATCCATTTACCTAACAAGATGATAGTTGTCTCTGCTACCCGTGTAATATCTGTCTTTGTTTCTGTAAATGATCAGCTTTACGGTCACTTGATTGCTGAAGGGTTTTCCACCAAGTGCCAAGTGGAAGTCTTGGTAAATAAGACATCTCCACAACCAACTTGCTATTCTTAGGCATGATCTACTTCCACTGGGAAATTCCGCCTACCAGTGACAATACCTTCATCTCATCTGACTCTAGTATGTAAGCCCACTTCTTCCTGGCAGTGTTTCAGAGTTATCAAGACTGCGGTACTGAACACCTGCTTCTGGTCTGAGGGATTGATTACCTCGTCTACCTCTCCATTATTATGTATTGTATTGATAGAGTCACTGGATGTCTTTATCGATACATAGCAAGGATACTCAGATGTGTTTTAATTTATCAAGTGGCAGATTATCCAGTCTGTGATGGATATGTGGGACCAGCGGGCCTCCAGTAGTAACAGCCTGGTTGACCAGGGTCGGAATGCGAGAAAATGAAAACTCTTGAAACTCATCAAAGGTATTCCTGGATATAATAACAATAATAATAATAAATGATAATAATAGTGACAATAATAACTATATTATTTGAGAACAGTTTGAGGGGAAAACATCATTAAGAATATTGGGAAAATAATAAACCCGCATGGGAATGGAAGGTAATGATGCTTGATCCAAGGATTCAGTTCCTTGGATCAAGAGCCCTTCAGTATGAAGGGACTAGATAATGCTGCACACACTGCTTCAGTGTGGGTGCCTTGATGCTGATTAAGTGCTCTTGATTCAAGGAATTGGAGATACTCCCCTTGGGCCGAATCTGATACCTATCATTAACCAGACGGGTTTAGCCGTCGGCAACAGGGGGCTTGGTCTGGGACCGGGACCAGGACCAGGAAGCAACTACAGGTACAGGTCATGATCTGAAGTCAAAACTAGGGGAAGGTGCGGGTCAGTAAGGGTCACCTATGAGCGTATAAGAGTCACATTAAGACAGGTGGTGACAAAAGGGCAGAGGGTGTACAGGGGTCACATTAAGGCAGGTGGTGACCAAAGGTCAGAGTGTGTACAGGGAGAGTAAGAGTTCTGCTGCCTCATGTCTAGTATTGATCAAATATACATGTCAGGGAGGTTCTCCCTCTTCCTTATCACCCCACCCTTCATCACCCCTACCCTTCCTCATCACCCCCACCTTTCCTCATCACGCCTACCCTTCCTCATCACCCATACCTTTCCTCATCACCCCCACCTTTCCTCATCACCCCTACCCTTCCTCATCACCCTCACCTTTCCTCATCACCCCTACCCTTCCTCATCACCCCCACCTTTCCTCATCACCCCCACTTTTCCTCATCACCCCTACTCTTCCTCATCACCCCCACCCTTCCTCATCACCCCTACCCTTCCTCATCACCCTTACCCTTCCTCATCACCCGTAGCCTTCCTCAGCACCCCCACCCTTCATCACACCACCCTTCATCACCCCACTCTTCCCCATCATCCCCAGTCCCCTTTCCATTTCCTTACCTCCCCGTCTCCCCATCGTTCTTCCATTCCCTCTCCTTCCCCCCAGCCCCCTCCCCTCAACCTTTCTCCCCATCTTCCTCATTTCCGTTCCCTTTCACCGTCATTCTTTCTCCCCAGCTTTCCCAGTGTACCTCACTCTCCCATTACCATTCAGTCTTCCAATCCTTCTACTTCCTTCATCTGCCCTCCCTCCCTTCCTCCCTCTTATCTCCCCTCCCCCCTCACGTCTCCCCCTCCTCCCTCCCAAGCAGTGTGTTGCCTCGTTAGTGCTGGGAAAACCTGCAATGCTGTTCTTGGCAAAACAAATAAAATTTTTATTTGCATCTCTCTCTTTCTCTCTCTCTCTCTCCTCTCTCTCTCTCTCTCTCCTCTCTCTCTCTCTCTCTCTCTCTCTCTCTCTCTCTCTCTCTCTCTCTCTCTCCTCTCTCTCTCTTTCTCTCTATCTCTATCTCTCTATCTCTATCTATCTATCTCCTGCCACCAGGTGTTGTTCACCTTCCCTCCCTGCCACCAGGTGTTGTTCACCTTCCCTCCCTGACACCAGGTGTTGTTCACCTTCCCTCCCTGCCACCAGGTGTTGTTCACCTTCCCTCCCTGCCACCAGGTTTTGTTCACCTTCCCTCCCTGACACCAGGTGTTCACCTTCCCTCCCTGACACCAGGTGTTGTTCACCTTCCCTCCCTGCCACCAGGTGTTGTTCACCTTCCCTCCCTGACACCAGGTGTTGTTCACCTTCCCTCCCTGACACCAGGTGTTGTTCACCTTCCCTCCCTGACACCAGGTGTTGTTCACCTTCCCTCCCTGACACCAGGTGTTGTTCACCTTCCCTCCCTGACACCAGGTGTTGTTCACCTTCCCTCCTGACACCAGGTGTTGTTTACCTTCCCTCCCTGACACCAGGTGTTGTTCACCTTCCCTCCCTGCCACCAGGTGTTGTTCACCTTCCCTCCCTGCCACCAGGTGTTGTTCACCTTCCCTCCCTGACACCAGGTGTTGTTCACCTTCCCTCCCTGACACCAGGTGTTGTTCACCTTCCCTCCCTGCCACCAGGTGTTGTTCACCTTCCCTCCCTGACACCAGGTGTTGTTCACCTTCCCTCCCTGCCACCAGGTGTTGTTCACCTTCCCTCCCTGACACCAGGTGTTGTTCACCTTCCCTCCCTGACACCAGGTGTTGTTCACCTTCCCTCCCTGACACCAGGTGTTGTTCACCTTCCCTCCCTGACACCAGGTGTTGTTCACCTTCCCTCCCTGACACCAGGTGTTGTTCACCTTCCCTCCCTGCCACCAGGTGTTGTTCACCTTCCCTCCCTGACACCAGGTGTTGTTCACCTTCCCTCCCTGCCACCAGGCGTTGTTCACCTTCCCTCCCTGCCACCAGGTGTTCACCTTCCCTCCCTGCCACCAAATGTTGTTCACCTTCCCTCCCTGCCACCAGGTGTTGTTCACCTTCCCTCCCTGCCACCAGGTGTTGTTCACCTTCCCTCCCTGCCACCAAGTGTTGTTCACCTTCCCTCCCTGCCACCAGGCGTTGTTCACCTTCCCTCCCTGCCACCAGGTGTTCACCTTCCCTCCCTGCCACCAAGTGTTGTTCACCTTCCCTCCCTGCCACCAGGTGTTGTTCACCTTCCCTCCCTGCCACCAGGTGTTGTTCACCTTCCCTCCCTGCCACCAGGTGTTGTTCACCTTCCCTCCCTGCCACCAGGTGTTGTTCACCTTCCCTCCCTGCCACCAGGTGTTGTTCACCTTCCCTCCCTGCCACCAGTGTTGTTCACCTTCCCTCCCTGCCACCAGGTGTTGTTCACCTTCCCTCCCTGCCACCAGGTTGTTCACCTTCCCTCCCTGCACCAGGTGTTGTTCACCTTCCCTCCCTGCCACCAGGTGTTGTTCACCTTCCCTCCCTGCCACCAGGTGTTGTTCACCTTCCCTCCCTGACACCAGGTGTTGTTCACCTTCCCTCCCTGACACCAGGTGTTGTTCACCTTCCCTCCCTGACCACCAGGGTTGTTCACCTTCCCTCCCTGACACCAGGTGTTGTTCACCTTCCCTCCCTGCCACCAGGTGTTGTTCACCTTCCCTCCCTGCCACCAGGTGTTGTTCACCTTCCCTCCCTGCACCAGTGTTGTTCACCTTCCCTCCCTGCACACCAGGTGTTGTTCACCTTCCCCTCCCTGCCACCAGGTGTTGTTCACCTTCCCTCCCTGCCACCAGGTGTTGTTCACCTTCCCTCCCTGCACCAGGTGTTGTTCACCTTCCCTCCCTGCCACCAGGTGTTGTTCACCTTCCCTCCCTGCCACCAGGTGTTGTTCACCTTCCCTCCCTGCCACCAGGTGTTGTTCACCTTCCCTCCCTGCCACCAGGTGTTGTTCACCTTCCCTCCCTGCCACCAGGTGTTGTTCACCTTCCCTCCCTGCCACCAGTGTTGTTCACCTTCCCTCCCTGCCACCAGGGTTGTTCACCTTCCCTCCCTGCCACCAGGTGTTTTCACCTTCCCTCCCTGCCACCAGTGTTGTTCACCTTCCCTCCCTGCCACCAGGTGTTCACCTTCCCTCCCTGCCACCAGGTGTTGTTCACCTTCCCTCCCTGCCACCAGGTGTTGTTCACCTTCCCTCCCTGCCACCAGGTGTTGTTCACCTTCCCTCCCTGCCACCAGGTGTTGTTCACCTTCCCTCCCTGCCACCAGGTGTTGTTCACCTTCCCTCCCTGCCACCAGGTGTTGTTCACCTTCCCTCCCTGCCACCAGTTTGTTCACCTTCCCTCCCTGCCACCAGGTGTTGTTCACTTCCCTCCCTGTCACCAGTGTTCACCTTCTCCTGTCCACCAGGTGTTTTCATCTTCCTCCTCACAATTGATGGTTTTACCTCCCTGCATGCACAGGTTGTGTTCCACCTTCCCTCCCTGCACTCAGTTCTTTCCCTCTCTCCTCCCTGCACTCCAGTGTTGTCTCTTCCTCCTCTACCTTTTCACCTTCTCTCTCTCCTCTTTTCCGTCCTTCTCCTCCCGTGTTTTCCCTCCCTCCCTCCACCCTATTTCTTCGCCATTCTCCCTCCCAGGTTGTTACCTCCTCTCCCTCTCCTGTTCCCTTCCTCCCGCACGCGTCACCTCCCTCACCTCCCATTTCTTCCTCCTACACAGGTCTGTCACTTCTCCTGACACAGTGTTTTCACCTGAATAGTGCACAGCGTTTGGTTACCTCTCACCCCGTGTTTCCTTCACGCTAGGTGTGCACCTTCCCTCCTGCCCAGTTGTACCTCCCTG